GGGCCGAGCGGGCCGAGCGGGCGGAGCGAGCCGAGAGCGCAGGAGGCGGCGGCGGGTGGAGCGGAGCACGGCGCGCCGGGGCCGCCGCCGGGGGGATGCGCCTGCCTCCCCGGGCCGGTGTGTAGAGAGGGCGGGTCCCCGGCCTCGGGAGCGCGGCGGTGGAGGGGACGGAGGCGGCGGCGGCCATGGCGACCCCCAGCAACCTGGGGTCCTCTGTCCTGGCGAGCAAGACCAAGACCAAGAAGAAGCACTTCGTAGCGCAGAAAGTGAAGCTGTTTCGGGCCAGCGACCCGCTGCTCAGCGTCCTGATGTGGGGGGTAAACCACTCGGTAAGGGCTCGGCTGCGGCGCGCAGTCCCCTTCCTCCTCCTCCTCCTCTTCCTCCTCGCTCCCTTCCTCCTCCGGCTGCTGCTACTGCTTCTGCTGCGGGGCGGGGAGCCCGAGCCGGCCCCGGCCCTCCAGCACTTCACCCTCTGGGGCTGCTTGCCTGCCTCGGTGTTCCCAGCTCCGCAGAGTGCGCCCGCCCCTCTGGGCCGCCAGGACGCCACTCGCGCCTCCTTTGGATCTAGGGCCGGACGCAGGATGAGGGGTCCCGTCTGCATCTGAGCCCCACGGCCGGTGCCCGTGCCGCCTCGTCCGTCGGTCCGTGGGTCGGTCCTCGCACACGGGAAGTGGGAAGTTTGTGCGGAGCACGGCTCAGCCTCGCTGTCAGCCCCAGCGGGGGCTGCTGGGGACCAGGTCCCGCCGATCGCTCCCCTTCTGTGGGGGGTGGCGGGGGCGCCGGTGTCGTCAGGCGGCGGGCAGGTGTACCTGTCCGTGGCAGGAGCCTCCCTCAGGAGGACAGAGGTGAGAGTACTGGAGAGACTGGAGAGCGAGAAGATTTGGGGGCAGCAGCTTTAGTGCTTAGGTTCTTTTATTTCCTTTAAAGGCAATATTATTGGATAGAAGGGAAGCTTTTGGCAAAGAAAAAGCTAATGTAAATATGGCTCTGGTGCTGAGCATCTTCTCTGCTCGTCTCCCGCATCGCACTGCCGCTGTGCCGACTGAGGAGCCCTTGGCGGGGAGTCTTCCTCCCCACGCCTCCTCCCCCCACTTTGGGGAGCTGGGCAGAAGTCACCGACTGCGGAAGGGCGGCCGGGACGGTGACAGTTGGAGGGGGTCCCGGCAGGCGAGGATAGGAGGTGGTCTTGAGGTTATTGCAGCCGCCTTGGGGGTTTAAAAGCCTGGAAGAGAGCGCTTGGAAGAAAGGTTAGCTTTACGCCCAGCCAGGGCTGGTGTAAGATGCGCCGCTGCGGGCTATGCGGACTGCGGTTTGAGTGTCTGAAATAGCCTCTCGCTGATCTTACAGCGAGAAACTCTTGCAGTTTTAATCTACTTGGATAGGATCAGGAAACGTGATAGGAGCTGTTGGCTCAGCCATGAAAGTTTAAATGAGCCTGTGAATTTTGACCATGACCTTACCCACTGCAGTCAGCATCTGAGCAAAAGTGTTAAGTCTGCTTTTGATTTCTATGGGTGCCTGTGTCCTTTTCAGCATCATGGAAGTGACAGAAAACCATGTTGGTTTTTTTCTTAAAAAAAAGAACACTCTCAATTTAATAAAGTTGTTGAAAAGGCATCACTTTTCTATTTTTCTTCCCCAAGCTTAGCTGGGGAAAAGGTGGAACGGTATCAGGATTGCTTTGCGTTTGCTTGGAGTTGTGACTGCCTTTGACAAATTTGAAAAGTGATTATTTTAATGCAGTTTAATGCCTCACCCACTGAAGTTCATTTTAACTTCCTACAACTTCTTTATTAGGACTATAAATTGTTACAACAGCATATGTTACATTATTGCATCAAAAATTCCTCTGCCATGTATTACTACAGAAAATGCAATGTATTTTTTCCTAAGTTAGTAAGTCTGCAATCTAGAGTTATGTATACTACTTTTACGCTGTTTTGTAATTTATGTTATTAGCTGTGTGTCCCTTATTAATACAATAGGATCTTATATTTTAAAAGTAGGATGTGTGTACTGTAGTGCTTACTCTTATTCATGGGTGGTTTTATCTCCTTTGGAGTTCTGTTGTTTTAGTCAGGGCAGTTTGTCCAGTAAAGTAGTGTTAACAACAACAAAAAAGGGTGCTGTCTGGGAATTAGTCTGAATTCCTGTTTACTTTAGAAAGTCTTGTAGTTGTGCATGCTTTGCAGTAATCACTTCGGTTGCTACCTTATATTTTATTAATTGCTACATTTGTTTTAGAGGTTCTTGCTAAATAGAAATATCTTGAAACTAATAAAAATAAGTACATGGGGCTTATAAAAATAATACAGGATTTTTAGATAGTACATTTAGTGTTTTTTTTTTTTAATTTATTTATTTTTTGTGGTTTTTGGCCAGGGCTGGGTTTGAACCCACCACCTCCAGCATATGGGCCAGTGCCCTACTCCTTTGAGTCACAGGCACCACCCTTAGTGTTATTTTCTTTTGCTCTCAAGAACATTTTAGCTTCACCGGGCACTGTGGTGGGCGCCTGTAATCCCGGCTACTTGGGAGGCTGAGGCAAGAGAATTGCTTAAGGGTGGCACCTATAGCTCAAGTGGCTAAGGTGTGCCAGTCACATACATCAGAGCTGGCGGGTTCGAATCCAGTCCCAGCCTGCCAAACAATGACAACTACAACCAAAAAATAGCCCGGGATTGTAGTGGGTGCCTGTAGTCCCAGGTACTCTGGAGGCTGAGGCAAGAGAATTACTTAAGCCCAGGAATTTCAAGTTGCTGTGAGCTGTGATGCCAAGGCATTCTACCCAGGGAGACAGCTTGAGACTCTGTCTCAAAAAAAAAAAAAAGAACATTTTAACAATTCTAAGTGTACACAGCCAGAGTGAAGTTTGCATAGTATACGATGTAAGCATGTTAATTCATTCAACAGATATACTTTGTACACATACAGTGTCAGCTACTGTAGGAAAGATTGCTAAATTGGCTCATATTTTTTGTCCAAGTATCTTTATTTTGAAGGCTCTGAGTTGATGTAAGAAAGGTTCATTTACATACAGCCTTCTTTTTCAAAATGTTTATTTTCTTTAGTATTTTTGAAAAAAGAATGGAGGAATATAAAAAGATGAAATCTGAACACTGATGCCGAGTATTTTCTGGTTGATTTTATGTGAACTTCTGTGTGCCAAAGTTTATCGTACAGTGTGAGAATAAATATGTCAGCACTATTAACAAGCAAGCATAGCGTTGCATGTGAATGGGAACATTTGAAAAAGCCCGACAGAGAAGGAACTGATACTTCACATCAGTCTTTCCCTACATTTCTAAAGTGATCAGAATTAACGGAAAAAGATCTGTCATGAATATAGCAATTCTGTGCTTTCAAAATTTATATGGACTCATCATAAGGATATTAAGAAATAACCACAAATTTGGAGCACTAAAGGGAAACTGCATATTTATTTTGTCTTGGAAGCATCTTATAAGGGGATTGGGCATCTTCCATATACTATCCAACTGCTCATTGGATCTGTGTTCTGGTTCTTTCTCTGTTGACCTTGGGCATGCTAACCAGCTTTTGTTCGCATCTGTAAAGTAAGGTTGTTGGACTGGATGATTTCCAAGTTTTTTTCCTAACTCAAGATTCAGCTGTTTTTATAGTCTAATTAGGTGCATAACATTATACTAGGATTTATAGAATACTAATAGTATATAATAAAAGTGGCATTATAACCTTATATCCTTGCAATTATGGCAGCATTCAGGGGAATTTTCAAGGCCTTGGCTTGAGGGAAAGGAAATCTATGGTGATTTTTAAGAAACTGAACTAGAGTTTGTTATATTGATTGTAGTTGAACTGCATTGCAGTCTATTAAGTCAAAGTCTATTTGATTGAAATGTAACAACTTGCAATTAAGGTGCAAATTTTTAAGTCCATTATAGTGGTTATGAAAATCTTGATTTGGACAATGCTCAATATCGGGAATAAGCCTGTTATTGTGTGGTTAATTTGATATGTTACTGCTTTCTAACTTAAAATACCCATCAGTGAATGGATCAGTGCCAATTTTTATTTTAAGTATTTTAAGCAGTGAATATAATTGAATATGTAAAGGAAAAGATGACTTAAGAAGGCAGTTTTGTCTTGTTACATTTGGAATTACACTAAAAATGATTAGTAGTAAGCGTCTTAAAATGGTATTTTAATAGTGTATGGAGCATGTTGAATGTTATAAGCTGAGACTTGTTTTAAATAGATTTCTAAAAGGTTTTTATGCCCAATGAGATGTGGGTCTTTTAGAAATTAGTATTTAGAAAGCTATTTATGGGTGGGTGCCTGTGGCTAAGTGGTTAGGGCACCAGCCATATGCACTGGGGCTGGTGGGTTCCAATACTACCCAGGCCTGCTAAACAACAATAACAACAACAAAAAAATAGCTGGGCGTCTGTAGTCCCAGCTACTGGGAAGTCTGAGGCAAGACAATTGCTTGAGGCCAAGAGTTTGAGGTTGCTGTGAGCTGTTACGCCACAACTCTTTACTAAGAGTGACATAGTGAGACTCTGTCTCAAAAAAAAAAAAAAGGAAGTTTGGTTCAAAATGATATGAATGATTATGCAGTGAAATTAACTGAATAGACAGTAGTAAGCTAATTGCATTAATATAAACATTAGGTGAAATTCACTGAATGGAACCCAACTAATCTTTTAATCAAGAACTAGTCTCAAACTACTGTTTCCCTGAAAATAAGACATTGTCTTATATTTATTTTTTCTCAAGAAGACACACTAGGGCTTATTTTCAGGGGATGTCTTAGTGCCCATCACTAGGTCTTATTATCGGGGTAGGGCTTATATTTAACAAATGCATAGAAATCCTGCTAGGGCTTATTTTTTTGGGTAGGTCTTATTTTGGGGGAAACATGGTACTTTTTTCTTTTTCTTTTCAGAGGAAAGAAGCATGCCAAGCAGATACACACAAAACATATTATTTGGGTAGTAGTTCATACTCCCTAAAACTTGGGGGTGTGTCTGGAAAACAGATTTTCTTCTTCCTTTGTGTGAACTATGGTTAATCTGAGTACTAAATGTGTCATTAAATGTTAGTATCAAGTGATGCCTCATGGTAGGTCGACAGTCTCTCTTCTCTAGGCAGGATTATCTACTGTGTCTTTAGAAAGATGGCCAGTAAGAATTGCAATAAACGAACCAAATCTACTTTAAGTTGATTAAAAAATACAGTCAACTAGAGTAATTAATTTTTCCCATATACTTTTTGAAATACAAATTTTGGACTTGAATGGAATTTGGCAAAATGATTTGTGGTCAGATAGATGAGGTTCAAATCCTGG